CCACACTCAGGACAGAGGCCCTGGTGAGCCCCACTTCAGGACAGGCTGGGTCCCCACACTCAGGACAGAGGCCATGGTGAGCCCCCTTCAGGATAGGCTGTGTCCCCACACTGAGGACAGAGGCCCTGGTGAGCACCCTTCAGGACAGAGGCCTGTGTGGGAAAATGCAGACAGGGCCGACTGTGGTGTGAGAGGTGACTGGGAAGGAGTGGACAGACACATGGACTCACACTGACAACTCACCTGCACATTCTACGATCTTCACACACGCACGAGGTTCATAGGACAAAACTCTTATGGGTGAAGTTTTCCCTTTCCCACCAGGGACCCAGACATCAAGAAAACTGGACACCTTAGGGTCTCACATCCTCCTTCCAGGGTGCCCATGTCTCCTGCTACACACAAGGCTGAAAACTGTCCAGGCTCTGTCCCAGGAGCCCTGACACCACTGCCATCACTGCCTTCCCAGAATGAGGCTGAGGTCACTGAGCAAGGAGAGCACCTCCCTCTGTGAGCCACAGGATGGGGAGTCAGAAAGGACAGGGACATGGGGTCCCCTCCACACCTGCCCTCCCACTTCAGTCAGACTTCGGTGGCAGATGCTGCTGCTTAATTCTCTAACATCCTGGGTGCCCCGAATAAGAATGGCCCCATAGGCTCACATGCTTGAGTACTGAGTCACCAGGGAGTGGGGCTCTTTGAAAGGATGAGAAGGATTAGGGATGTGGACTTGTTGCAAGAAATGTATCCCCAGGAGTGGCCTTTGAGGTTTCAAAAGCCCAAGTCAGTCCCTGTCTCACTGAGTCTGCTGCTAACAAATCGGGGATATAGCCCTTACCTGCTGCTCCAGCACCATGCCTGCCTGTGAGCCTGCATACTCCCACCCCAATGATAATGGACCAAGCCTCCAGAACTGGAAGCAAGCCCCATTTAAATGCTCTATTTTATAATAGACACCTTGGCAATGGTGTCTCCTCAGAGCTGTACATCAGTGACTAAGACACAGTCTATCTTTGCTTCTTCTGTCCTCCATATTCTATCCATCCAGCAGTCATTTCACCTAGAAGCAGAATGGATCCTAATGCTCATTAAGACCACACCCAAGGCACCATTCCTGTCCCTCCCCTAATGTCACTTTCCAGCTCTGCTCTGGCTCCTCAGGGCAGAGCAGTCCCATAGGGTCAGCCCTGAATGCTGTCCCAAACTGTGCAGGCCATTGGTGCCTCTTGGTGCAGGATAAGAAGCCTTATAAACTCAGGGCAAGAAGAAAATTGTAGCTGTCCAAAGAATAAAAGAATGTATCTTCTGAATCCTCTTTTAATTATCTATCTATCTATCTATCTATCTATCTATCATCTATCTATCTACCTATCTATCCATATCAATTTTCTACTTACCTACCTACCTCTCCTCAGTCCCTGCAAAATCAGATTTGACTGTTCTGAGGAAAGAAAATGTCCCCACTTCTCTTCCCTCTTCCTACTTTTCCTGGCTTTATCAGTCTCCTTTGATCATATCAGCAGCATCACCCTCTAGACAAGGAAAAGTCCTCAGCTTTGAGGGACAACGATGGAATTGGGACTTACCCTGTCCCCTCCTTTGTAGTCCAACTACCCTAACACTGGGACCTGCTGGTGGCCACATCAGAGGAGCAGCAGGGAGCACTTGAGTTTCAGGAGATCAGGCCACCAGGAAGCAGGGCACTGATGGGTGACTCTCCCACGGATCAGGTCCTGAGAACTTCAGCTCCAGAATGTCTCTTGCTGCTGCTGTGCCTTGACATGTTTGCCACTGCCATTTTCTCTGGTATCTGGCATGGTGTGAAGAGCTGTGGAGAGATCCCCGCTGCCTTTAATGTAGTGTGATTATCTCATCTCAGATTATATCCTGTTCTACTGGGCATTTTTACCTATGAATTATTAGGAAGATGATTTCCTCTTAAACTGTACTGTCTAATTAAGGTAATGATTTTATACACTAATAGTGTCAGTCTAAATAGATTGTTGAGGATTAAGGCTTTCTAACAAACGTAGAAAGGGATTATGGTAGGGGTTAGTTATTGGGAAAAGTTAGTTTAATATAGGTAAAGGTAGATACGGTGTTGTCCCACACCTGATAAAGCAGGGGCAGCAGAGGGTAGAAAATAGGACCAAGGAAGGGTCACACAGCTAGGACTCATGAGTTTCTCTTGAGAGGCTGTATATATACACTGTGGTTTAGGTTAATGATTAAGGAAAACAATCGAGTCCCAGGAGTTCGCTCAAGTTGATAATGGGAAATGTGCACATGGGTTTAGTGTGCATTGTAGCTGAAACAAAGCTTTAAACAATTGCCTTTACATAACTAGAATACAAAGAAATGGATGGTTAGCTGAGAGAATTGGACAAAGCACTAAAATAGGAAGAAGCCCAAGCTAAGACTTGGCTTCTTTTCCACAATTAAAGAAAAATCTCTGGGTCATTATGGAGGAGTTGGCAGTCCTTAGAAAATCCAACTGCATTTGTCCTTCACCGCACAGATCCAGACCAGAAGGTGGTCTTACCACCTCAAATTAAGCAAAATCCCTCACAGCTGTGCCCTCCATTTTGGGGTTTTAGTCAATTTCAGATATAATAGAGTCAAGTTGACAACCAAGAATAGACATCACAGTCTGTTTCAGAGTTCTAGAAACTTCCCTGGTTCCAGGCTTTGCAGCTCCTGTGACCCTCATGGCTCTGCAACCTCCCTACCCTCTTGCAGGGAGCTGTCTTCCCACGGGAGGAAAAGGATGGAAAGTTCCATCTGGATGTAAGTTTTATGAGAACAGCCTGAGACCTGAGACCCTCGCAGTGGTGTAGCGGGGAGGTCATGGGGCAGCTCAGCCAGCCATGGTTCCTCCTTCTCAACCTCATCCTCTGTGGGCTCAGGTAGAGTTCTGTTTTGTTCTTCAAGTTAAATTATTGCCCTAGACTCTGGTGCTTCTCTGTAATATTAAAAAGATGAGAGCCTGAGGGCCTCATGTGGGAGGGAAGATGGGAAAGGAGACCTCACTAGCTGCAGGAACCTGCTGGATGTGGGCTGTCATGGTCTGTTACAAGTTACCATTCAAGTGATTGACAGAAACTTGTTCTGCTTCAGCAGCAATCAAAACCTGACACGGGGTAAAGTGCAGAGATGAACACACAAGAATCACTCCAGCAAAGACCATAAGTAATAGTGGAGAGGGTGCCGGAAATGGCCTGCCCCTGCAATCAGATTCATGACTACCTTAATTGTCATCCTAGAATCTTCATCCAGTAACTGATGGAAGGAGATGCAGAGATCCACAGTGAAGCAATCGACTGAATCTCAAAGTCCAGTCAAAGAGAGGGAGGAGCAATTACATGAGCAAAGGGGTCAAGACCATGATGGGGAAACCCACTGAAACAGTTCATCTGAGCTAATGGGAGCTCACTGACTCCAGACTGACAATGGGGGAACCAGCATAGCACCAAACTATGCCCTCTGAATGTGCGGGACAGTTATATGACTGGGACAGTCTGTGGGGCTACTGGCAGTGAGGCCAGAATTTATCCTTAGTGCTTGAACTGCCTTTTTCTAGCCCATTCTCTTTGGAAGGATATCTTGCTCAACCTAGCCATAGTGAAGAGGGCCTTGGTCATGCCTCAAAGTGACCTGCTAGACTTTGCTGATTTCCCATGGAATTACCCTTACTGAAGAGTAGATTGAGGATGGTTTAAGGGGGAAAGGCCAAGTGAGCAGGAGAAGGAAAGGGAGTGGAAACTAGGATTGGTATGAAAATTTTCAAGAAAGAGAGAGAGAGAGAGAGAGAGAGAGAGAGAGAGAGAGAGAGAGAGAGAAACA